ACGAACGATCTCGCTCACCGAATCGAAGCCCTCACACAGCGCAAGCCCCAGAGTCCACACTGAGTAGAGAGCCATCAAGGGTATCTATATATGGCCCTACTCACGATTTTGAGGAAGCACGAGTGTCGTTTATTACAAAGTCACCAAACCTTGAACCTTTGGATTCCGAGGATGATGATTCCGATGATGGTCTATTCGCTGCGCCGCTCGCAGGACGAGCTGGTCCGCCCACACCTGCGAAGAACACACCCATCACTAGAAACAACTCCCGTAGCCAACGGCCAAACCTTACACTTAAGACACAACGGTCAAAGAACTCATTAGCACAAGTTACGGAGAAGTCCGCTGAGCAGAGCGCAACTGGGGATCGTGACTCGCAGCCAAGCGACTTCCATCCTGAGTCGGCTGCATCTGCAACCTGGACCGACTCCCCGAATGATACAAACAAGTTCTCGCGTCGTGAATCCTTCGCTAGCGATGTTTGGGCAAACCGTCCGCCAGCTGAAGCCCTCGTGGAACACCTTGACGAGCTCTTCCCGAATGTCAACCTCGACCAACCTATGCTTGAGGAAGAGGATGCGGATGGCGCCGCTGAGCCAGTCAACGACTCCCAGCCTGCGCCGGTCGAGCCCACTCCTGTCAATCAGCCCCTCACTCGTGGTGGTGCCGGATTGCAGAGTATCGCGCAGCGAAACATGAGAAAGTCGGGCGCTGGCCTGGGCCGTACCAAATCCATTCGTGAAGTGGTGAAATCACAATACCAGCCACTCGACAAGAGGCCACTCCCAGGCCAGGCACATGCTGGTGCTGGTCCATCGCGAGTTGCTACGCTTCGCAATGGTGGCGATATTGTCAGACGAAAGTCGACGAAGATGTTCAATGCCAGAACTGAGCAAGTACGACCTCAACGCGGCTCGCGCCTCGTCATGGAAACGATACCTCAAGATCATCTACCAAGTGTCCCGTCGCGGCAGCCAACATTCAAATGGATGAAGGGTCAACTCATCGGCAAAGGCACATTTGGTCGCGTCTACCTTGGTATGAACATCACCACCGGAGAGCTTATCGCTGTCAAACAAGTCGAGGTCAACGCCAAAGCCGCTGGGTCCGATAAAGACAAGATCAAAGAACTTGTGAAGAGTTTGGATCAAGAGATCGATACCATGCAGCATCTTGACCACCCCAACATTGTGCAGTACCTCGGATGCGAACGCAAAGAGTACAGCATTTCTATCTTTCTCGAATACATTTCTGGTGGCAGTGTAGGGTCTTGCATCCGCAAGCACGGCAAATTTGAAGAGTCTGTTGTCTCTTCACTCACACGGCAGACTCTGCTCGGCCTTTCATACCTCCATCGTGAAGGCATTCTTCATCGCGATCTCAAAGCCGACAATATCCTGCTGGACCTGGACGGTACATGCAAAATCTCTGATTTTGGCATATCCAAGAAGAGCGACAATATCTACGGCAATGACGTGACAAACAGCATGCAAGGCTCCGTCTTCTGGATGGCTCCCGAAGTGATTCGCTCCCAGGGCCAAGGGTATTCTGCCAAGGTCGACATCTGGTCTCTGGGTTGCGTTGTCCTGGAGATGTTTGCTGGTAAACGTCCGTGGTCCAAGGAAGAAGCCATTGGTGCCATTTACAAGCTCGGTAGCTTGAACCAGGCTCCTCCCATCCCCGAAGATGTGTCCAGGGTGATTGGAGTAGAGGGACTGAGTTTCATGTACGACTGCTTCACTATTGATCCCATGGAGCGTCCTACGGCTGAAACGCTCCTACGAGCGCCTTTCTGTTTCAGCGATCCGAATTACAATTTCCTGGATACAGAGCTTTATGCTAAGATTAGGGGAGCTTTCCAGTAGTGTGCGTATATCAGGGAGGATTGAGGCGGGAATTGATGACGATGACGAATGGATTTTGATCTGTAAAAGAGTATATCGGTTATATGCTATGAGGTTTGACTGTATCGTCGCTTGTCTTAGACAACATATACCCACTTTCTTTGTTTTCTGCCAATTTTATGTTTTTGAAGCGTAACGCGCGGATTTCAATATGATATTTTATGTACTCCTTTCCCTTTTCACTTGACAACATGAACATGACTTGTGCTATGCCGTTAAGTAGGGGGTGTCGACGAATCACAGTGCCATATATTAACCAGGCGCACTGCGACACTGAATGTTAACAATGACATGAAAATCTTCTTCGATAGGTTGCAGAGAGAAGCTTGATGCCCACCCAACTCTATGGTCCGCATGGCGTACTTCTGTTTTCGCCAAACTCATTCTTTCTACCAGTAACCACGACTATAGTTGAGAGTTGTCTCAACTCCCTTGTCTGGATGTACGATCTTCTTGCATTCGGACCATAATCTAACATTCTCTACAAACATGGCAATAGTTGGTGACTCTAAATATGGATGTACGAGGTCAGTGTATGTTTCACATGCACTTCGTACATTGTCACTTATGCTGGTAGGACTGTTTGCAAGGTTTTCACATGCTGGGCCGCTTTTCTTGCGTACTTGGTGGGCTTGCTCGCCGATCTCTTCGTAGCATTCTGAGTAGGGGTGGACGCGGATTATCGTACGGCTAAGAACATTTGGACATGACGCTGCATATGAAATGCATAGAGTGATGTACGAAGAGTTTTTTATTTTCAGGTCGTGGGTATCATTGAAGCCTATCTTACTCGTATGCTCTATCGCCTACATTTACTAATCAGATCAAACAATCTTTGCAAACAAAGTCTTTGTGCATAGTCAGGCTAGCTGAGGTGGTTTAGAGATAGTCGTTCAAGAGCTCAAAGAAAGAAGTTGTCGGGTTCATGACTGGAGATTTGGCTTCAGTGATTGTGCTTTCGGCATACTCTCGATATCGTGCTCATTGTCCGTCTTAAATAGAGATCTACTTTGTTGATTGATTTGGATCGGAGGCTGCGGCGAGTACCCTGTCCGTCAGGTCGTTGTTCGCTGTCCTTTCGGTGCTTTCGTGGTACTTCTTGCGGGTCCTCGATACGAGTATCGATGACGACTGCGTTGGGACAATAGCTTCCTATAGACTGCTTGTTTCGTTTTGCAGTTGACCTCCCAATCAAACATCGCCGTTGGAAGAGCGCAATCATACATTTACAGGTCAGGCTGGTGATGTTGCCAGCTGGCGCCGCTGCTGTATGAATCCATCCTAGTCGGCGCTCCTTCATTTTCACGAAACGCTACGCCGTTTGCCAACATGGGCCGCGCCATAATTATGCTTCGTTGACTGCGACGCAGGCCACGGTTCGAGACATTGAGAAATATGATCTTCAAGGTTGTGTACGTGAGAACGTCACGTTCCAAAGCCCCAGCTATCAACCCTCGGCATTTGAGGATAAGCGAATAAAAATAGAAAGCGGTTTTCTTACCAAGGGAAACGATGTCGTCACAAGAAACGAAGTGGATTGAATTGCGCGTTGCCTCGAGCCGCTTATTCTCGGCGACCCTCCAGGGCTCGTGGCAGATCTGACGCTCGCGTGTGGAGAGGGTCAATCCTCGCATCTTACCGCGGGTCTGTGAATATAGGCACATGCGTATTGCCGCGCCGCTGCAAAACCTGGGCATGCAGCGCACCGACCGAGCCGACCAAACTCGCAGCCAGATAGACTTCTAGATTCTAATAAACCCGCCACCTAGGTCCTTGGGCGTCACTCCACAGGAACAGCACTTGTTGAGGGACGATATCGATAAACCATCTCCACAGATGAAAAGCTTGAGTCGACTCAAGCACTTGCGATATGCGGAAATAGGAGGGTTGAAACAACGGTGTCGACTCAGGTGCTTGACATGTGGGTGGTGATCCATGGCCTGGTGAAACACGGCCTGGTGTGTACCTGCATCAAGGTTGGCCAACAAGCGAGCAGCCGAGAAGGGCAATAGGGCGAAGACGCTCTTTTGCTGGGCAAAGAACGCATAACGTGCATAGTAGCAGACCTTCCTCACATAATCGATGAGCGGCGGGGCAAAATAAGGATATGCGTTGATAAGGCCGTGGTCAGCAGGTTGCACCGCAATGGCGCGTGTCCTTGCATGGAGTGGGTATGTGACCGGTAAGCGAATGCGCAAGACACGCCGCAATCAAAAGGTGCGCGAGAAGTGGATGCAGAAGGTGAAAGTACCGGTCCTCCTGTGGACCGCGAATGGTTCCTCAGTAGGAGCGTGCCTGGGGCGTCGAGGTGGCTGTGCTAGCTACCCAGAAAGGCCTTTGCTGCCGAAATGCGTCTTTTTCCCGCTCGGAGGAACGACTCGTTCATCGGTACGGAGAGCGTACACGGTATTTGCTCTGGTCCACAGTCGCGCGGACAGGTCGCACGATGATAGGGAGGGCAGTCCGTCGTCGTATTTACAGTGGTAGCGACACAGCATCTGGCGACCCCAGCGTGAGACATCTGAGAGGCGCACATCGGCGCCAGTCGGCTCCCAAATCATCAGCCTTCAACGGCCCCTGCGCGCAAGCTCTTGTCCGTATCTAGCTAAGTCAGGGGAAGGCGGCGCGGATCAGTCGTCCTTAGACGTTTCGGGACCAACAGGGGCGCTTCACCTCCCCACTGATCCCATCTTCCACCCAATAGTGCCCCGTCACTATCGACGCCGCCACGAATACGATATACCCCCCCCGGTCCAGGCTCAACCGCCTCGTGTCCGAAAAGGCGACCAACAGCATGAGTTTAGACCAAGTTGAGCATGGACTAGGAATAGCATACCTCGATATATGACCCTGCCGCGTGCCCGCCCCTGCTACGGTTACGCCGCATCTCTGATTCCTCGTTCTTTGACGTCGAGGTTTCTACAGCATACGTTTTCTTTCCAGACCTTCTGGGCTTGATCCAAAGGTCGTTCCGCTCTTTAGCATCGGTTTTAATAGTTCTTCATTCTTCGGGTTCTTCGAGTCGGCTTCTTTCGAGACTCTTGGCCCATCCGGTCTTTCAACCAAACACAAAAAGCATCCACTACGTTCTTCACCATGGCCAACTTCAGCAAGCCCGCGAGCATGATGACTATGCTAGTCGCCCTTTTGTCCATTTTGCAGTTCACTGTCGCTTTCCAGCATGGCTCGCACCACCACGCCCACCCTGCTCGCCACGCAGACTCTGCCATTGAGGCTCACATCAACGAGATCGAGGGTGAGCTAACCAAGCGTCAGTCGCAGCAAGGGTTCATAACCATCACTGGTGTGTGCAGCTCCGGTACTGCATCCAACGGCCAGTGCAATGGCGGCAACACTGCTGCGCCCCGTCTCGAGCTCCGTACTTTGGCGCGCAACGCCGACCAGTGGAACTTGTACCTCCTGGGTATGGAGAGGTTCATGGCCAAGGACAAGAACGACAGGCTTTCGTACTACCAGGTTTCTGGTGTCCACGGTCGTCCTTTCCAAACCTGGAACAATTTCCCCACGCCTCTCATGAACCAGGCTGGTTTCTGCCCTCACGCGCAGGCTCTCTTCGGTTCCTGGCATAGGCCTTACCTTGCCATCTACGAGGTATGAAACTCAGATTGAACGCTCAAACGTAGACTAACAGTTCGCAGCAAGCATGGTACCAGAGCGTCTTGGAAGTCATTGCTACTTTCCCATCCAACCAGCAGCAGCGATGGAGGAACGCCGCGGCCACTCTCCGTATGCCTTACTGGGATTGGGCCATGGACCCAGGACAAGGTGGCGCCACCGTTCCTACTCAGATGCGTGACCAGACTGTTACCGTGACCAAGCCTCAGGGAACTGTCACCATCAACAACCCCCTGTACAAGTACACCTTTGGCAACACGCTTCCATCTGAGATGGGTGGAGGCCCATGGAACAACTTCCCTGAGACGCTCCGTCGCCCGGTTGCTAACCCCACCCGCAGCAACAACAACGAAATGAACGCCCGCTTCAACGCTATGCGCGTCTCTCTTCGTGACCGTGTCTTTGCTTTGTTCTCCAGCAAGGCCAACTGGGGTGCTGCTAGCACTTCCGCTATCGGTGTCCGCACTGACCTGAGCGGCGGCGGTGTTGACAGCTTCGAATCCGTTCACGATGCCATCCACAACACTGCTGGTGGTGAGAGTGGAGGACACATGTACTACCTCGATGTCTCGGCTTTCGACCCCCTCTTCTGGCTCCACCACACCAATGTTGACCGTCTGCTCGCCATGTACCAGCTCATCACCCCCAACACCTACGTCTCCAACGGTAACGTCATGCGCCCCATGGCTCAGTGGAACCAGGGTGAGCCCAAGAACCAGTACTCTCCTCTTAAGCCCTTCACCAAGGACTCTGCCGGTAACTACTTCACCTCAGTTGATGTTAAGGAGACCCGCACCCTTGGATACTACTACCCTGAGACCAGCGACCGTTCCTACCAGCAGGTGGCTCGCGCCGTTACTCAGCTTTACGGCGCCGGTCAGAGGACACTTACCAAGCGTGGTGACGACGAGTCGGAGACTGGCCAGTACCTTGGACGTCCTATCAAGGAGGGTGACTACCACACTGTTCTTTCCGTTATCGCCGACAAGTACGCTCTCAAGGGATCTTACACTGTCCACTGCTTTGTTGGCAAGCCCGGCAACAACTCTACTTCGAACTCCACTGCGCCTTACCCAGTTGCAAACTCGACCGCTTCTGCTGTTGTTCCTATCAGCACTGGTACCTCTCCATACAGCAACAGCACCGCCGATGCCGACTACGACCCGTCTACCGACTACACTCAGGACCCCAACTACGTTGGTTCCTACGGTATTCTCGGTGGAATGATGCAAGGTGGTGGTAACGCTTCCCAGTCTGTCATGACTGAGGGTGCTCTCCCTCTTACTACCTGCCTCCAAGGAAAGGAAGCTGCTGGTGAGCTCGAGTCGCTCCGTCCCGAACACATTGAGTCCTACCTCAAGGAGAACCTCTACTACAAGGTTGTTGGTGTTGACGGTGAGCTTAACGCGGACGACATCCCCAACCTTCACATCAGCGTCAAGTGCAACAAGGCCAAGCCTGCTGCTTCTGACGATGAGCTTCCTGACCTGAGCGCTCCTTACGAGGTTCTCGAGAGCGTCACTGCTCACCTTCCTGCTGGAAAGCCCTTCAAGTACGTCCCCAGCGCGCTCGACATCCCTCTGCCAGACGGCGATGAGTACAACGAGCCCAGCAGCGACGGCTCGATGCCCCAGAGCCCCTCCAATGGTGTCTTCCCCTACCCATCTATGCCTTGGGAGGAGCAGGGCTACTGTGTCACCAAGCAGACCATCGAGTACGTTGACGAGTCTGGTAACTTCCTGTACTCTGAGATGTAAGGTGGTGAAGACGTTGCGTAGAGAGAGTGTGTGATGGGGTCGTGAAAGAAGCATTTGAATGCTTGTGTATGAAGGATCTTTCTTGAATAATACCTTTCGAATGTACATTGGACACGAAAGTTTTTTTTTCCTTACAAAATGTCAATTGATATCCAGCAAAGGCTCTTCCCTATCGTTTTTCGTAGAAATGTCATCGTCTCTTTGAAATGTCATCTGCAGCGTAGGCGTTATTGCAGCGCTTCGTAATCAAATCTGTCTCGAACACTTGCTGCTCCCTTTGTGCACTGATCTGCTACCCACTATTATGATGCGGTGAAGGTCGGTGATTATTGGACGTGCCCGGACGCCACTACTTGAACAGCTTCAGTGTCTATTATGAAGCCAACATGTGCAACTCCAGCAGCGGTATGTCAGACACTATGTACAGATTACTCGGTTGTAGAGCTGATGGCGCTAGAGATTCGCTGGTACCAAAAGGCGCTAGTGGGGGTTTGCTGATCTCGCTGGGCACGCACCGCGAGCACCACATCACGGCAGTATCTCTCATCCTGCTTGACCATTCCTAGGGCCTCTCAGGCACCCACGCATTGTTCCGTAAGTCCTACACCAACGTCGTCACCATGTACCAAGTCTACAAGTTGTGCTTCACCAGCATGGCGCCTGAATCGCGCCGTCGCGAGGACATGCCGCTCCCAATGTGGGGTTCGATATGTCATTCTCGCGATACTAATTTCTCAGTAGATACAGCTCATAGGACAGTCTGCCCACCATGCCCGCTATGCTAGATGACCCTACTGCGCCGGTCATATATAGGACTTCCGGCGACGTACCATATCCTCCGCCTGGTGGCCCGCTGCCAGTGGGCATTGCACCATGTCAAGTAATCCTGCGCGACCGGGTGACAAGCGCAACGATAATCCCCTTCTCTGCGCCGAACCAAGTTCCCCTCACATTACTGGCATACCTATGCGATCAATTAGGACGCGAGATTGAGAAGGGCGATACCTATCCCATGGTTGAGCCGCTGACCCTCGAGGCGTTTGGTCCATACTGGTTCGGTGTCTTTGGTGCCATTATGCTGCTGGGTGAGATCCAGGATGGCCGAGAACTGCACGAGATGGCACGGAGAGGCTGCGACTGGGAGAGGGAATGTCTGGGTAGTTTCTATATCAAGCCCAACTACCCGGGACGGTCGAGCCATGTCTGCAACGGTGGGTTTCTGGTTACAGATGCGTCGCGAAACCGAGGTGTTGGTCGCTTGATGGGCGAGACATACCTAGACTGGGCACCAAAGCTTGTGAGACTCTTCACAGACGTTTAGGCAGCATGCGCTAACCTGCTCAGGGCTATACATACTCCGTCTTCAACCTCGTTTACGAAACCAACGTCGCTTCCTGTCGCATATGGGACGCCCTCGGATTCAAGCGCATCGGTCGTGTGAAGGGTTGTGGAAACCTCAAGTCATATCCTGGCGAGCTGGTCGATGCCATCATATACGGTCGGGATCTAGGCCAAGATGACGAGTTTGTGTCTGAGGAGCGCTTCGACAAGATTCGCTTCTATCTCAAGAACGGAAAGTACCCCAACGGTGCTGACCGAGCAGAGAAGAGCCGTCTCCGTAGTGCAGCTACTCATTACAAGCTTACGCCTGGTGAGGGCGACGAACCCGAGAAGCTGTGGCTGAAGGGTAAGGAGGTTATTGCAGACCCTAAGCAGCAGTATGAAATTGCTCGCGAGATCCATCACAAGCACCATGGGGGCATCAATAAGACTACTGCAGCGATTGCTGAACTCTACCATTGGGTTCGCATAAAGGAGACTGTTAGCCAGGTCATTCGTAACTGTCCAGAGTGCAGCGAGATGAACAAAGGCCTGTCAGCTATGCGCCAGGGTCAAAACCAAGCGCGTGCAGAGGCAAGATCAGGATCCAGTTTCCTTTCATCAAGCGCCACGCAGCCGAACCTGACACCTACCCCACCGAGCTTGTTCTCACCAACGCAACCACCGCCTCCGTCAGATTCTCCGAATAGCCAGTTACAACTCGAGGCCGCACAGCAGCAGGACACAATCTATCCGCAATACTCTCAAGACAATGGTTACGACTTGCCTGTTGATCCCGCACTGATGCAAGGCATGCAACCTGCTGCAAACCTAGCTGATCTCCCGCCATCACCTTTTCTCGCAGCTCAGGTTTCAAATCGTGCCGGCCACGCAGGTGAACTTGATCATCAACGCATGAGTCTCGATCCAGGTTTAGATGAGCGGGCACCTACTGCAGGGGAGGAGATGCGAAGAAGATTGAATCTTGTGAGTCAATACAAGTAAGCAGATGCAGCATGTGAATCTTCGAACATAGTGGTCTACGGCATGGATGACTAATGGATGCCTCCATATACTGGACCTCAAGAATCGACAGTCGATGTCGACCTGTCTATATTGATGGACGTGGTCGTAAGCCATGACGGCATGGTTAATCACACGAGGAAATGGAATGCTGCAAGAGCATAGCGGCATTTTTAGATAATGCAATAACACAGCAATGGAAGCTTGTGAGCACGAACCGTTCCTCTCAGTATGATTGCGGTGATACTCTTGGACTGTGATTTCTAGATACCTCTATGAGGAATGTTGCTAAACTAACGACTACGTACTGCTATCCATCTTTTCGAATGTTGACCCGTATACATATTTACCTTTCTCCTTGCATCACTCCCTACACGTTCCGGTCGTTTCCAAATCTTTCTTCTGTCCTATGATTCAACTCATCTCCAGCATCGACTCTCTCTCTTATCCGTTTGACACCTGTTTTCATTAAAGGCATATCCTCATGACATCTCTTGTCTTGACCTTAGCCTTCAAAGAGTCCCCACTCCTTCACCTTGAAGCTCTCCAATACCCTCTCTCTCACCGCTTTACTATCCTTCATCAATGGCGTCTCGTCACCTTGCTGCTCTGCTGGAGTGAACTCGCCCGGGTAGTGCGGAATGTTGATTGAGATCATAATCTTCAAAGGTACATTAGCAATGATGAAGTAGGTTTGTCAACAATGCTGAGTAAGAGGTGATCATACGGAGGTTTGGGTGAAAGGTATGCTACTTACATCGGTACCTTGCTCTTTGAGGCGAAGAAGAATGAGGTGAATATATGTGAACTCGGGAGTCTTCCGATTGGGGTGTGGGTTGGGTGTTGGTGGGGTTTGGATGAATGTCAATGTCAAGACTGAGTTGTTCCTACAATCTCAGTCAGCCATGTACACATACCAGGGCTTCTAATTCTATTGTGCCTTCGCTTTGGTCCCTTTTGTGAAGATGTTGGGCACTACGTACGGCAAAGATTTCATCGCAGCACGGTCTTGCGAGATGATCGTAGTCTGGTCGCCGGTGTCTTCGACTAGATCGCCAAAATGATACTGCAAAGCTTCTTCATCATTGCTCTTTTCGACATACTCTAGTATCTCGACGACGATACTAGAATAGCCGTTGCTGTCGAGGTAGACTTCTTGGTGGTCAGGGATCTGGCGGATCTGCCTGTTGAGTTACATCGTTAGCATGAAAGTCCGGAGTCTGCCGTATCATTTTCGAGGGGGGTAGTGTATTGGACGGTTGTAAATATTGGGCGTGGGGTTAATGACGATGCAAAGGGAAGGCGCGGGATGTGGGGGCACGCAGGATAAGAGAAGAACTTACGATGCGTCGGCGAAGTTGGAGGGGAGGTCGAGGGTTATTGCGCCACCGTAGAGAGGAGTGTTTGTGAATGCCATAGTGTAATCTGATGCTACAGAGAAGTGGCTGCCGTTTGTTGTACTATGTGCAGAACTTGATGTGGTACTTATGTTGCGACTATGATTTGGTGATGGCGAAGGCACGTAGGTAGCCACCAGGCAACATCAGGCAGCACCAAAATGGCTACCTGTGACATTCTTGACAACAGCGAAACAGCACTGGAGCTTGCTGAGTTTGCTATCAAGTATTTTGTTTGCAGAGCCGTTCTCTGATTGTACATATATTTAATTCGAAGTTGCAGTTCTACAACATGAGCATATTACAACTGCAAGAGAATATGTATGATCTTGATAGCATTGCACAATGGTAATGACCAAGATATGGTAGTATTTGTGAGAACTTGAGTGTTTCGACCTGAAATGTAGGGTATCGTTTGAGCTTTATGGCCCTTCTAATGTTCCATATCCCAATTTTGAACGCCGTGCAATGCATGTTTCTTCTCCCAGACCTTATCATCCTCTTGAGTAGCTAGCAGTTTGTTGCCGTCTCAGCCAGCTCTAGATATGTGTTGGTCATTCTTTCCCCAGACCACCGTGTCTTGTGACCATCCACCAAAGAAGTCTAATTCCAGTTGACGAAGACGTACGTTGTCGCAGCACTCAACCTGATGCTGCAACCTGGTCGACTTCCATCGGGGCTGTCGCAGCCGTGGTGCGCGTTCCGTTGTTGGTGGTAAGGCCAATCGCTGCCTCTGCTTCTTTCTGGGAGTATGGTTCTTCGCGAAGTTGCTTGACCCTAGAAACCCATCAGCGCCGTTCTCATAATCGCAAAGACGACATTCTTACCTCCGCTTGTGGACCTTGCCCTTTTGATGCGCAGCAAAGTTGCCGTCGCTCTCAAAAAACTTTGCGCACTCCTTGCAGTACCATTGCCCCAGGCCAGGCAAATCTTCTATGGGCTTCGCATCCTTGAATTCGGCAAGATGCTTCTCGTCGCGCAAGTCGGCGTGGATCTGGTCGAGGTCGCGCGTATGTCTACGTGTCTTCTTCTTGGAGTCTTGTCCGCGTATGGCAGGCATGGTGGGCAGTATCCGCGGCCGTCGGTTATCCGTGTGAAATCGTGATGGTCGGCTATAGAGAAAGTTGCAGTGTGGAGATGGGGTCCGTGCAGGGTCTGCAGGTCAAAAAGACTTGTGGAGCTAGGTCGAATCAGGCTGTGGTAGATGCTACTGTTGCTCCAGAACCCGAAATTTGCCATGTCTGCAGGCCTACATGCTGACTCGGCACACAATTGTTGGGTCGGAAAAGGGAGCGCAGACCTCCGGGGCGCTCTTGGGCAACTGTGCTATCGCAGAACGCCAATCACCTCCAAAAGGAATGAGCGCGGGGTCGGTGAACGGCTGGTGGCTATGACGTCTGGGTGAAGTGAACACCCATAGTTCTCAAGCACCCGTCTCGACAGCCCCCAAGACGTGAAATACCAGCTGGGCCCCCGTCGCACACAAGACAATTGCACTCTCCATAATTGCGTCTCCATTACACCGCGCTTGCACGTGAAGCGGGCCAACGGGACTGCGCAGCCGACCTGTTTCTGGTTTCAGGCGCCGAGGTATTCCGCACGCAGCTGGGGCTAGACGAGCCAATCACACACCTCGTGATCCTCATTAGTTATCGCCCAACTTGAGCCAGCTTCTGACGTTCTTTTCCTCCGCTTCCTCCATCACTCTTCTCTCCACACCACCCTCCCCTAATCCTCACCATGCAGAAGTTCTCGAGGCTCGGCCGCCTGGGCCAGAGCCTTGCTTCGCGCAGGCAATTGGCCACCGTCAGCGATGCTCCCCTCTCTCGCAAGGTCGAGATGACCAACTGGGAGAAGGGCCACTACATCAACTACCAGAAGATGAACGAGAACCTCCAGATTGTTCGCGGCCGCTTGAACCGCCCGCTTACCTTTGCCGAGAAGATCCTCTACTCCCACTTGGACGACCCCCACGGTCAAGAGATTGAGCGCGGCTCCAGCTACCTCAAGCTCCGTCCCGACCGTGTAGCCTGCCAGGATGCCACTGCCCAGATGGCTATTCTTCAGTTCATGTCAGCTGGTCTGCCCTCCGTTGCCACTCCTACCACCGTCCACTGCGACCATCTTATCGAGGCCCAGGTTGGTGGTGAGAAGGATTTGGCGCGCGCCAACGAGATCAACAAGGAGGTTTACAACTTCTTGTCCACCTCTTGCGCAAAGTACAACATCGGTTTCTGGAAGCCCGGCTCTGGTATCATTCACCAGATCGTGCTTGAGAACTACGCTTTCCCTGGTGCTCTCCTCATCGGTACTGACTCGCACACTCCCAACGCTGGTGGTCTCGGTATGGCCGCCATTGGTGTTGGTGGTGCCGACGCTGTCGATGTCATGGCTGGTCTTCCCTGGGAACTGAAGGCTCCTAAGGTTATTGGTGTTAAGCTTACTGGCAAGCTCTCTGGCTGGACTGCTCCCAAGGGTATGTTCTTGAAATATTGGTTTTCGAAAGCGGGGCAATCACGCTAACACAGTCTATAGACATCATCCTCAAGGTCGCTGGTATCCTCACTGTTAAGGGTGGAACCGGTGCTATCGTCGAATACCACGGTCCCGGTACCGAGAGCCTGTCTTGCACTGGTATGGCTACCATCTGCAACATGGGTGCTGAGATTGGTGCCACCACCTCCGTCTTCCCCTTCAACGACCGCATGTACGACTACCTTGCCGCCACCAAGCGCCGCGACATTGGTGACTTCTCCCGCGAGTACGCTGCCCAGCTCCGTGAGGACGAGGGTGCCGAGTACGACGAGCTCATTGAGATCAACCTTGACGAGCTCGAGCCCCACATCAACGGTCCCTTCACTCCCGATCTAGCCACTCCTATTAGCAAGTTCAAGGAGGCTGTCAAGGCCAACAAGTGGCCTGAGGAGCTCAAGGTTGGTCTTATCGGTTCTTGCACCAACTCCTCTTACGAGGATATGACCCGCGCCGCCTCTATTGCTGAGGACGCCATGTCCCACGGCATCAAGGCCAAGTCTCTCTTCACTGTTACCCCTGGTTCCGAGCAGATTCGCGCCACCATCGAGCGTGATGGTCAGCTCAAGACTTTCGAGGAATTTGGCGGTATGGTCCTTGCTAACGCATGCGGTCCCTGCATTGGTGAGTTCTCCCTTCCCTAACGAGTCAGCCTGGAGTTATTCGCGGTCTTTTCTGTCGTCTCTCGACAGCTCAAGAGTGTCCGAGTACCTCCAGGCTGCTGCTTCATACTCAACTTCTCTCTTCCCTGACGAGGTAGCCTGGAGGTATTCATAGCTTTTCCTGCTTATCTCTCGATGACTTGGAATTCTTTGAATACCTCCAGGCTGCTGCCTCATACTCAACTTTTCGCTCTCCTGGCGAGGTAGCCTGGAGGTATTCGCGGCGTTCTCTGTTGTCTCTTGACAACTCAAAAGTCTTTGAATACCTCCAGCCAGCACTTTCAGATTAATGCACTTATAGGTCTCATGCTAACATCTCTGCCAGGTCAATGGGACAGAAAAGATGTAAAGAAGGGCGAGGCCAACTCGATCATCTCGTCTTACAACCGCAACTTCACTGGACGTAATGACGCCAACCCCGCCACCCACTCCTTCGTCACCTCTCCCGACCTTGTCGTGGCCATGACCATCGCAGGACGCTTGGACTTTAACCCGCTCAAAGACGAACTGACCGCGGCGGATGGTTCCAAGTTCAAGCTCAAGGAGCCTACTGGTCTCGGACTTCCTACCAACGGCTACGACCCCGGCCAGGACACTTACCAGGCTCCCCCTGAGGACCGCGCATCTGTCTCCGTCGCTGTCTCCCCTACCTCCGACCGTCTTCAGCTCCTCTCTCCCTTCTCGGCCTGGGATGGTAAGGATGCTAAGGACCTTCCCATCCTCATCAAGTGCCAAGGAAAGGTATTTTTGCCCAGCCTCCACGAAATACATAACACATACTGACTTATCTGCAGACCACCACCGACCACATCTCCATGGCTGGTCCCTGGTTGAAGTACCGTGGACACTTGGACAACATCTCCAACAACATGTTGATTGGTGCCATCAACGCTGAGAACGGCGAGGCCAACAAGGTCAAGAACGCTCTCAACGGCGAGTACGGTGCCGTCCCCGATGTTGCTCGTGACTACAAGAAGAACGGCGTCCCGTGGGTTGTCATTGGAGGTAAGAGAATTCTACTGTACCAATAAGTTACATCTTGGCTGACGTTATTAGACTGGAACTACGGCGAGGGTTCTTCCCGTGAGCACGCTGCGCTCGAGCCCAGGCACTTGGGCGGCGCTGCCATCATCACTCGCTCTTTCGCCCGTATCCACGAGACCAACTTGAAGAAGCAGGGTATGCTTCCCCTCACCTTCTCCGACCCTGCCGACTACGACAAGATCGGCCCTAACGACCGTGTTGACTTGGCCTCCACTGAGCTCGCCCCTGGCAAGCCTTTGACCATGACTGTCCACCCCGCCGATGGCAGCAAGGAGTTCCAGATCCCGCTTTCCCACACTTTCAACGAGGGCCAGATCGAATGGTTCAAGAACGGCAGCGCTCTCAACACCATGGCCAAGAACGCTAAGCAGTAAATGCACATGATAGAGAACGGATGAGAACAATCACCACTGGGGATGTAAATACAGAAGGATGAATACCCCGCAGATGCTTCACGAATGGGGATGAGGAGATTCACGTCTGGGGTGGATCGAACAGATGATCAGACGGAGCTGGACACCCGTAAATGGGCGCAGTAGTGCAGCTTTCATGTCGGTCCATCGAGCTCAATGTGGTTGGGTTTGCTTGTATTTGTGATGGTTAGCATGCAATGTATGACTGATTTTTCCTTGTTACCAATGGTACATGTTCTGACGTGATTGTGGATGATGGTTGAGGTGGCTATGGAGCTCGATTTCTCAAGTTTAACCCAAGACAAAAGGTATCGTAGGGGTATTCGGTGAAGTTCCTGGTATACTATCTAGCGACAGAAGATGATGCATACGTCCAGAGTATGTTCTGTTTCGTGGATATCGTCGTATACCTCAGATATCAAGTACCATTGTGTGCTCGGACCAAAGCACAGTAAAACGTGCGTCGCACTGAGAACGTGCGAGGTGGATCCCGGCGCCGTTCCCGCTAGTCGCCGGGACAACGGCCGATAACAAACATGCTTGGCCAATACTTCCAACGTCTAAGTATCCTTGTGCGAACAACATTCTTGGTACCAATCGCACGCACGACGGCTTGAATATCCTTACACATTATACTATTTTATACCAAATTTCGCGAATATGGCGCGTCTACGCAAACCGAGTCCGAACGAACCGACTATTTTCATGACACCGTCCGAGACGAGAACAAGCCGATCAAGTTCGCGGAAGGCCACACTTCGATACGCATCATCGCAAGAAGACGACACCTCCATATTGGTTCCCAAGACCTCGAGGCGCATAGCGCGGGATACTAGCATATCACAAGACACAGAGCATTCGTTTCGCATACCGAAGGCAGCGACGCCCAGGGATGCGCTTACCCCGCGAAAGCAACGTGTACTGCGACCGGTCGAGAGCAACAGTCGACTGCTCCGCAAGCTTAGCGATGAAAGTCTAGCAAGTCCGGAGAAGAAACAAAGAGAGCGAAGAGTACGTAGTGGGACAACAGACACAGATGTTGGAAAGAGGAATGGACTTCTGTATGCCAAAAGCCTGGCAAGAAGCGTGGTGAACAAGCAGGCGCAGAAGGGCAAGATAAATGTTGTAGGGGAGCAAGAAGCACAAGAGGCAGCTCAACGGTCACGCAACAGGGAACAGGAGGGTAGAGAGGAAACACTGAAAGACGAGACTGAGGAAGAGGAAGAGACAAGTCTGTGGTGTGGCGATGAGGAAGCCGCGACACAAGACGAGGCTGCCGAGCCAGTGGCAGATATTAGCGAGGAAGACGAAGATGATGAGCCTGTTGTAAAGTCAAGAAAGAATCAGCGACAACCGCGCGCACGACGTATAGTGTCTGACAGCGAGGAGGATGAGAGTGAGCTGAGCGCACCAGAGCCTCTCAAGCAGTCTCAACAACCGATGTTCAAGATTCCCGATCTCAAGCCAGTAAAAACGTCTCCTCAACCTTCAGCCGATCTGAATTCCATGCGACCGCCAAATACAAAGGGCCATAGTTCGATGTCAAATTGGGCACAAGAGGTTGTCGATCTCACAGATTCACCAGAGGCTCCGGCATCTTTTGCACTCCCTGAACGCACTCATGTACGATCGAGTTCCTTCGCAGCTTCCTCTCGTCCTACCAGCTCAGCGTCAAATGGCCCCCTTCCAATTCTGACATACTCTCCAACACCTACTAAACAACGCTCGCCCTGCAAAGCTCCACCCATCTCACGACCAGCGACACCTCCACTAGCTCCTCCCAGCCCAACTAAACTTGTCTCGCCTTCGAAAAGGAAGCCGACCATTCCCAAGGCCAATGATATAGATGGAAGACCAAGTCTTGACGCATTCTGGAATCCTGCAGCTGTGAATGAGTGGACCGACCGTCACTCACCAGCCAAAACGCTCGTGTCGCCTAAGAAGCAAAAATGGCGGGAAGACATCGTCAAGATGATGGAAGGTGTGGCTCTTGAAGACAGCAGTGATGAGGGTTACGAAATCCCCATAGAGAGCCCCAAAAAGAAGCCTACAGATCGCAAACCAGCCAAAGGGAGACTGCCAGAGATTCAACCAGCCTCGAATGTCAAGCAAATCCGCGAACAACGCAAAGCCTTCGCTGAACGCAAGCACGCCATAGCTGAAGCTTTCCTCGTCGAGCTCGACACCACTATCTCCTCAGGCCGTATCCACGAGCTCTCGAAGCCTACAGGCGGCATCAAGCTCGTCTGGTCCAAGACACTCAAAACAACAGCCGGTCGCGCAAATTGGCGTAGAGAGCAGATACGAATCCGAACCGGGACCCTCCCCACAGATACGCGCGTAGAGATACGACACCACTGCTCCATTGAACTCGCTGAGAAAGTCATCGACGATGAGGAGAGACTCTACAACGTACTCGCGCACGAGTTCTGTCATTTGACGACATTCATGATCAGCGAAGTACGTAATAACCCCCACGGAGCAGAGTTTAAATCTTGGGGCCGCAAAGCTACTGTCGCCTTCGCCAACAAGGGCGTTGAAGTCACCACCAAACACTCGTACCAAATAGACTACAAGTACGTTTGGGAATGTATATCTTGCGGTTACGAGTTCAAGCGTCACTCCAAATCGGTCGATCCAGCCCGCCACTCTTGCGGCAAGTGCAAGGGAAAGCTCGCGCAGACCAAACCCACACCCAGAGTCGGAGCCGGTGTTACTGTAGGCAAAGATGGTAAGAGGGAAAAGAGTGAATACCAGGTCTTCGTCAAAGCCAACTTTGCACGTGTGAAAAAGGAGCTGGAAGCCGAGGGCAAGGACGCCCAGATGGGAAAGGTGATGGAGGCCGTGGCTAAGGAGTACAGGGAGAGGAAAAGCACCAGTGGTGGTAAGGGGAAGGAGATCATTGATCTAGAGGCCGCGCTGGATGGCATGAAGATTTAAATGTGAGATTAGATGAACGAAGTGCTCGTATATTCCCAATCTTGCAGGGTCTACCTGATGACACTCCCGGGTGAGCAGCTATACTATACGCATGTCGTCAGCTGGCACTGACGTATCAAGGTCAGTTGAAAACGCGACGCGACGCGACTCTAGCGCGATTACCCTGGTCAACGCGCCATCCAAATCCCGATCCCCACCTTGCCATCACGTGAACCCTTCGTTGTCACCATCAGCATCGTTAGCTTGCACGCGCTGCGGATTTTACAAACACCGTGATCGGAGACAGCCATCACCCTCTGGCACTATGGAGTATTCCCGTGCCAATACAGTGCCATATCCTCCCCGTCCCGAGCCACCAGAGGGCCCAGCACCCTCAGCGCTCGAATTACCGCCTAATGGTGCCTACCTCGACATATTTCAAAGCCTCCTAGAACCCACATCTGTCCTGCAAAAACATGGCTATCGATTTCAACAACTGACAGACGCGGAAATTCATGAGAAACGAAGATGCAGTAAATGCAACCAAAGTAGGGATAATCATTAGCATTTGGGATATGCACGTGGATCTCTACGGCGTTTCTGACTTTCTTGTAGCTCTACAACAGCTCACAAAGGGTCTGAAAAAAGCTCTGCTCGACGGTGACCAACAAGCAACTTCAGCAGACATGCATCCCAGGACATGGCCTACAATGCTCATATATTATGAGGATGGTCAAACCGACGTTCAGCCTTCCACAGTACCATGCCGTTACCACTCAGCAGCAGTCGACCGCACCACGAAGGTGAATCCAACACGACACTTGCTTTGAGCTGCGGAACTAAATTCATTAGTGCTGGATGTGTTGTGGAGAGCCCGTTTCTAAGGCTACGCCATGCAACGGTACCAATGTTCACAAGATGCGCGAATACCGACCAAGTGAGCTCGATCGCTTGCATCAAATCCATGAAACTCCTCGATTTCATCCGGACCGTGCTACTTCCGTTAAATTTGCCGTCGCAATCGACTGCGAGATGGGCACAGCTAGAAACGGAGATTCTGAGCTTATTCGTTTAAGCGCCATCGATTATTTGACCGGCGAAGTGCTGATTAACAACCTGGTGAAGCCGGATCAGCCAATGCTACATCTCAATACCAAGTGGTCGGGTGTCACTTGGGATCAAATGAATGAGGCTGTGAGAAAGAAGACCACGCTGAAGGGGAAGTCTGGGGCAAGAAGACTGCTGTGGAAATTCGTAGGGCCTGACACAGTCCTCGTAGGACATAGTGTTCACAACGATCTGAAGGCATTGAAGTTGATTCACCCACGGGTTGTAGACTCCTACGTGGTAGAGCATAAAATCATCGAGGAGAAGAAGGCAATCGAAGCGCGAGAAAAGAAAGCGAGTGAAGCAGCGGCGAGAAGAATAGAGGAATTCCTTCCAGAGATCGCAGGGCTAGCTGATGGTCATGAGTCTTCCCTGACGACCAACAGCCAGATGGTAGGGAACTCAACTACCGCCACTGATGGTGTACCCAAAAAGAAAAAGGCCAAGGGTACAGGCGACTTAGCTTTGAAGACATTGCTGAAGAAGTATCTCGCCACTGATATCCAGACCAAAGGCAACAAAGGCCACGATAGCTTAGAAGATGCGACTGCGGCGAGAGACTTGGTTCATTGGATGGTCAGTAATGTCCCGCTACGAACTGCATGTAAGACAAACCCTGACTTCCAACTCTCATATTTAGGTCATGCGCATACTACAGGAGAGGGATGATAAAACGATTTAGCTGAGATGGCTGTATAAGTCTAGTGTAGTGCTGTGAAGCCCTTCGACTTCAAGTTGGGTTTGCTCGATCATCAAATTCTGGTCTAATGTATACATCGGACTTATTTCTCTACTTACTACTTACCACTCTCAGTAGCTCACTTGGTCTCTTGACTTCTCTGTCGACACATCATACTACTTTAGGAAGCCCCTCACTATTCTCATCCTTATCTCAACATCTTCCAGCAATCCCCGATAGTCTTCCGGACCATAGCTACTCACGCACTCCCTTACGCCTCCACCCTTACGACGCTCTTGCATGCCCATGTCTTTTAATAACGTGTCGAAGTAGGGCAGAGTATCAAAGACAAGGTCAGGCAATGTATGCCCATAGCTCATTGCGCCCCGTAGTACACAGTATTGTGTATTACGGTATGTCTCCTCAAGTGTCTTGGTGGGCGAGGAGGGAACAGACAGGGTACCGTCAAGGTAGGCGGTGATCCAGAGACTTTGAATGTACGCGTTGGGGAAAGTGCCGAGACAATGCACTGCGCCTGCGAAGGCGATGTTGCGATCTGCTATGGCTTTCGGAGGTACCATAAAGCGGTGCAGGCGGTAAGGCTGCGTATCTGTAGTTGGCTGTTGGGCATGGCGAAGGGAGTGGTTGGGGTGGTAGACGCGACTTGTGTCCCTCTCTTTGAGGTAAGGGAATTTGGTGTATAGAGTCTCTTCTGACCGCTGTATGAGAGCTTCTTCTTCGGGTGTAGGTGGTAATGTCGTTGGCAAGCCCAGCTCTTTCTCCAGCTCTCTAGGTTCGAAACGAAACGTGTATCCCTTCTGCCATCCTGTCGCGCATACGACTGCGTCCGTCTCCAACACCTGTCCCGACTTCAGTATAACCTGTTGTTCCCCATACAGACTGGCAATATCGTCTATGATGATCTTGATCTTCCCTTCTTTAACCATCTCAAAGAAGCTGTTTGGATAGTTATGAATTGACAGTGCATTGCCAACTTCAAAAGCGCCTCTCCACGGCCGTAACTTCTTTGTCTCAGGATGCTTATCCATCCCATTCAGCGCGATAGCGTCTTCCCCAAGTATGTTCCAGAAAGCACCCACTGCAGTGGTGAAGACACCAAATTAGCGTTGTTCTCAAATGCATTCCAAACAATTACAACTTACCTAATTTTCTTCCGAGCCACGTGCGATGGAAGAAGGAGCGTAACCAGCCTTCAATGCCCGTCGTCGGTGCCCACGGGCAAGGAGACATGAAGCCAAAGAAGCGTGTATGAACTAATTTCTCTAGCCACAAACCCAAAGGCGTGACGTGACTAGGTGTCATCCATACAGGACCGTTACCGTCGGGACGTATAAGTAAGGTTGCTGTCGCTGAAGGCTGGCTAGCGCATGCGTATGCAACGTCCCATGCAGACTTTCCAGATCCTACAATGACGGTATGTTTTCCCGGCTCCGCGATGACCGAGTGATGTTCCGGGAAGTCTGCAGTATGGATCACCAAAGGTCGAAACTTTGTCGACGTTTCATAACGCGGTAGTAGCGGCTTGTTCGTAGTGCCTACCGCGATAACCAGTTTCTTCGCCTTGATCTCAACACCCTTCTTCTCTAGCATAGTCGATGCACAACGCAGCACCCAACCGCCCCCATCTTTATCCTTCTCGATGACATCAATAGTCGTTTGGCCCCTGAAGAACTTCTCTATGTCGGCCCATTTCGTGAATGCACAAAGGTAGTCGAACATCTTCGCGGCAGGTATATGCTCTCCCCTTTTCACCATAAACCTCTTCTCTTCCATAGGGAAGTCAGGATGTTCGTACATGCCCCACAAATTGTTAGTCCGAAGACCCGGAAAAACGCGATGCGGTGCCCATGGCCCGCCGATGCACGAGGCAGAGTCGAGGATAAGGATTGTGGCTGTGGGGTGTAGGCGGTGGTATGTGTGAGCAGTGGTGAGACCGTAAATACCGGCGCCTACGATTACAAGGTCTGCTTCTTCCATTTGGGAACGTGGGGTACCTCTCAGGTACTAGAGGATGTTGTGACACTATTGTTTCTGGTCACACTGACGGAGGTCCATAGGTGACGAGCACAAGGAAACCGTGGCAGGTAAAGCAGATTCTACTTATCCTATCGGTTCCTGCAACTTGAGCTACGACAGGGATGGCGGGAGGCCCTATGATTTTGATGAGGGAAAACAAGCGAGGCCTGTACCACCCATGCCATCGTTCCAGCAAGGACTACTAGCCGTTCACTTGTGAAGTTGTCGCTAAGTTCGATGAGTTTTCCAAGACATGAGAGCTAGTTGCTCACATGTAAAGCCGTGGCTCGCAAGGCGTCCGTGATCTTCAACGGTTATCAGTTCTCATTTACACATAAATCACAAGGCAAGATAAAGTGCGACAAGTGCGGAACAGTCCAGCGGAATTCATGGAATCAGAAACGACACTACCCATCAGCATCATAGCTTTGCCTTCACAGAGCCTACACCAGCCTTGACCTGTACAGCACCTGATGCATCAGTATCGATAACGACTACAACACCCTCCGAAGCGGTTTCATCCGACTTCAGTACTATCTCCTGACAGTCTTCATTGCCAACTTCGTTCGCAAATTGTACAACCACAAAGTCAATTGGTCGGTCTCCGACTACGATCATCGGCGCATGCCATGTCCCAGCCCCATATGTCACTGCTTGACTTCCATTTGCCACGAAGGCACGGAGATTCTTGAGGTCTGGCAAGCCCGGACCCTTTGGACGTGCTGACGGATGAAGTCGTGAGAACTGGCTCTGAGAAGGCGCGGTTTCGTTTGAATATGGGCTTGGTCTCGCTCGCGCAAAGATGTCCATAACGCTTCGTTTCCGTTCAATGTGCGGTGTAGGATATGGCGGCGCCCTACCCGTACGACGCCTTGAAGCACTTGCCGGTAGAGTAGGAGCAACTATGACAAGGTACTGGGTGTGTCTTTCCTGCTGCGACAGGCCCATGGGTATAAACGTTTGTGTGGTGAAGGGATGCCTTTCGAGAATGGCAACGTCCAACAGCTGCCTTTGGAAGTCTTCGCATCCTTCCTCGTCCTCATCCAAGTCCAAGTCACCCCAGGAGCTGGGCATGCTCATGCTCGGCTCGTGTGGCCGGAGGTTCCGTGGGGAACAGACAAACATGTTCATCACCGTCTTGGCAGGTTTCTTGCTCGGCGCAAGGTCATACAGGTTCGACATGTGCGTGACATCGAGGTACTTGGTAGCCGAGCCCTGGTTGGCCGCGACCGCGTCGGGTGGTGGTATGCGGTTGGGGATGGGCAGCTGCGCTGACGGTGATGTTGTTGGGTTCTCGATGACAGTACCGAATTGCGAGAAGGCAGTTGGAGTCAGAAGCTCCATTGGTATTCGAATCGAGGGAGCGGGCATCGAGGTCGGCATCTCTGCGGCACGACGTCCAAGGAGACGTGGACGGAAGCTACGATGGATCTGTGGAGTTGAGATGGAGCTCGGGAGCTTGCGAAGCGCTACTGATGCGATAACGATAAGACATGGTATGCTGGCGCATCAGCACAACTCACTTTTGCGCAACGCCCGTGGGGACTATGCTGTTGATCTTGCATATCGATGTGTGTGAGCGGCAGAAACTAAAACCAGGCAATGTCCATCCTTGGTGCTATCAAACTGCGGTTGGTGTTACTTATTCGAAGTTACTGGCCAGGTAAAGCTGGTTGCAGATCATTGAATCTCGAATCCTTCTGTGCAGGCGGCATAAGATCGGTCTAGATTGCAGTGACGTCGATACAGTCAGAAGGAAAGCCTGTGGAAAGAAAAAAAAGACTTCGCAGATTGATGACCCTACGCAGCTCCAGTCCATTCTGCTGTTCGGCCATTGTCCATGAGCTGGCGAGGCTGATGTCACAGTCAGCCAACGCCAGCGGCCCGCATTTTCCCCGAGCACTAGCGCGCGTGCCCACGGTTTTCTTTCTCGACTCCATGTTTCCATCGCCCTACGCTCGTCACACGGTCACCCTTCAATTCTCTGACGCGTGTTCCTCCTTCTCTCCCACGATCCACCCGTTGCCGCTGCGTGCGCCCAAAGTCTGCCCTTGGCCTATAAAGTCACAGAAACTACGTCACACTCGAACCCATACCCACACACCCGACGTGTTCCTGTCTTAGCCTTACTCATCGCCAACCCACAAAACCGAGCTCAGCAGTTGAGCCAGACTTCGCGACCACCAGCACCTTGCCCCACGCCCACTTGTACAACTTCCTGTGACTTTGACTAGTTATCATGGCTGTTCCCACACAGTTGGCTTGTACGCTCGCCCTGTACCATCGCTCCTGTTGAAGCACGCTAACAATATTCACAGACCGTTCCGCCAAGGGCATCGGGCTCTTCAACGCTGCCCCAGTGTATGAGGCTCTCCCTGGATTCGTCCGGTGAGTGCTTCCGTTGTGCCACGAGCTCTTGCGCAGCTCCTACTCCAGTGCCGACGCTAACTCGCCTAATAGACCTGAAGGCAACCTTCGCTGCTGCTGCTACTCGCCTGACAGCAAGTACTTCGCATGGGCAACACCAGAACAGGTTTCGGTGATTGATGCCTCGGTCGGCCACGTCATTACCACACTTCCTACACCGAACGTCTACGAGCTCGGATTCTCCCCCCTCGGTACATACCTCATTACATGGCAGCGCCCATCCAAGGACGAAGACGGAAACGCTGTGAAGAACCTCAGAGTCTGGAAGACGCTGTCCGACGAAGCTGAAGATGACGGATCGCGGGCGGTCATCGGCGAATACGTCCAGAAGAACCAGAGTGGCTGGAACCTGCAGTACACGTCCGACGAGAAGTATTGTGCGCGCGTTGTAACAAACGAGGTGCAATTTTTCCAGTCGAGCGATTTGCGCAACCCTTGGAACAAGCTTCGTGTCGAGGGAGTCACCGATATGATGCTCGCTCCAGGCAAGAACCATTCAGTTGCCGTTTTTGTACCGGAGCGCAAGGGCATGCCTGCTGCTGTCAAGGTCTTCCAAGTACCTCAATTTACCCAGCCTGTATCCCAAAAGACTTTCTTCAAGGGCGACAAGGTCCAGCTCAAGTGGAACGATCTCGGCACCAGCTTGATTGTCCTAGCGCAGACAGAGGTCGACAAGTCGAACAAGAGTTACTACGGCGAAACCAACATGTACATCCTTAGTGCCAACGGCACCTTCGATTCGCGCATTCAGCTAGACAAGGAGGGTCCTATTCACGACGTCTCCTGGTCGCCTAACTCGAAGGAGTTCGGTGTCACTTATGGCTACATGCCTGCAAAGACTACCATCTTCAACCAGCGCGCAGTGGCACAACACAGCTTCGACCTAGGCCCGCGCAACACTATTCTTTTCAGCCCACACGGACGTTTCGTCATCGTTGCCGGGTTTGGCAATCTAGCTGGAGATATGGACATTTACGATCTGGAGAAGAACTTCGCCAAGGTCTGCCATGTAAAGACCTCAAACTCGACCTATTGCGAGTGGAGCCCCGATGGGCAACATATTCTTACTGCAACCACTAGCCCGCGTCTTCGTGTTGACAACGGAATTCGCATCTACCACGTCAGCGGTGGCCTCATGTACAACGAAGACATGGCTGAACTCTACCACGTCGTTTGGCGACCTCAGCCGACCTCGATGCACCCCCTAACTGACCCTTTGACTACCATCCCGACGCCGCATTCGTCCGCACTCGCCTATCTGAGCACCCAAAAGACACCATCGAAGCCTGCAGGTGCCTACCGCCCTCCCGGAGCGCGCGGGACTGCTACTCCCCTACACTTCAAGCGTGAAGACGAAGGAGGCGCTGCCTACTCCAACACCGGTATCTCTTCGACGAATGTTGGCTTCGCCAACGGGTTCGGCAAGCCGCGTCGGCGTGAGGTACCTGGAGCAGAGGCTGCAGATACTCTTCCACCCGGTGCTGCCCCCGGTGGTGGTGTCAGCCTTACTGGCGCCCAGGATGGCGATGGAGAGCTTTCCAAGGCAGCCTTGAAAAACAAGAAGAAGCGAGAGGCTAAGAAGGCTCGCGAAGCCGCCGACAAGGCTGCTGGACTCGCGGCCGACGGCGTCAACTCAGCTAACGGAGCTGGACGTAGCCCGGAACGTCGCCAGCGTAGCCGCAGCAAGAGCGGATACGAGCAGCAGGGACGAAGTGCCAGCCAGCACCGCAACTTCGGTAACAGCCCAAACCGTCAGGCTCGTCAAGACGGAGGTCAGCGCCAGAACCCTGCCCAGCAACGTCAGCAGGCTCCAGTGCAGACGCAGGCTCCTCCTCCGATTCAAACAGAGAGTCAGGGTCCTCCCCCTGACCTCACTGTCACCAGCCCTGGTGACGGCAACCCCCAGGATAAGAAGATCAGAGGTTTGCTGAAGAAGATGCGCGCCATTGATGAGCTGAAGATGCGTCAGGCCGGTGGAGAGAAGCTAGAGGATACTCAGGTCAAGAAGATCAGCACCGAGAAGCAGATCAAGAAGGAACTAGATGCCTTGGGCTACAGCGGCTAGGAAGTACTTCAACGTCCCATCAATCACTTTAAGCCTGATCATCTCAGCTTGTCGTACATTATATAAGATGCATAATCAAGTCATGTATTTCGTTTTGCATTCAATTCATGGTCTCGTGATCAAGTTTATGGCCTCACGTGGTAGTACCCCGGTGTCCAACGCTCCCTGAGAGATCGACCAGCACTTTAATCATGCTGCTCCTAGTGCGAGGCATGCCCGCCCTGTGTGCCCAACTCGGAAGCAAGTTCACTGCCCTTCTTGAATGTACCGTCGGGGTTGCGCTGCAAGTAACAGGTTAGTTACGGATTCATCAACTGATCCTGAAAACAACTTACTCCGCTGTCATTGCTCGATGTCTCAGCACCGGATTGGTTGGATCCGTGCGAAGCATGTCCGCCTTGCGCGCCAAGCTGCAAAGGTGAGAGTATCAAGTCAGTGTATGTGTTACATCCATTTCGTATGGTCACAACGAACTTTACTAGCGACCTCAGAGCCCTTGGTGAAGGTGCCGTCTGGGTTGCGGCCCGCCTCACTGCTGTTCGAGGTAGTGTCTGCAGCGCCATGGGAAGCATGACCACCCTGTGCACCCAACTCGGAAGCAAGCTCACTGCCCTTCTTAAAGGTACCGTCAGGATTACGGTCAGCATTGTCGCTGCCGCCAGTAGAAGTAGACTTGACAAAAGTCAGTTTCTGTACACGAGTGTGCATGTGCTTGGTTCAGCTTACGTCGTTGTTGGCAGAGCCGTGAGAAGCATGACCGCCCTTGGCGGCGATCTCTTTCAGCTCATCTTTTGGCAAGTTCGCAAAGTTGGAAGGATTGGAAGAAGCCATTGTTGAGGTTGTGATCGCCTAGTGTTTATTTGAAGCGAGGAGTTTTACTTGTTGTGAAGACGGGTAACAAATGGGTATGGAGTGATGAAGATGGAGAAATACAAAGCACGTCTGTTTGTATCGCTCTTTTTGTACGCGCTCCTGTTTGCATCCCTAGGCAACACCACGTCACAAATGCGGGCAGCAAACCTGCATAAGGCTACAGTGTCCACCTCCAGGCATGTCGGCGCAGATCAAACATCCGCGCACATCTGATTTGCCAGAAAAACGGTCATCGTGATGGGCAAGCCACTGTAGCCTGCTTGTATCCTTGTGCGGTGCTGAGGATTGTGTCAGGACGAGCTGTGATGTCATTTCACGTGGTCAGACGCGTCGCGCGTACTCACGTGTTCTTGAAACACGCGGCGGCCAATCAGGGGGTTCGGTGGAAATGACTAGCTGTCTTCGACGTCACGTTTGACGCGAATGTCTGAGGCTGGGAGTGGCCCTGTAAATGGCCGCGATACTGACACGACTATTCGATTTCCCTACCATTATCGTCGCTACTCCGCCCTTCCCCTCTGAGCACATACTCCACATCGGTTGACATTACAATTATGAGTCTAAAGCGTAAAGCGGCGGCTGCGGCTACCGACGCGTCCAAGAAGCCTAAGCAGAATGGCAGCATCACCGCCTTCTTCGGCGCGCCAAAACCCAACCCCAACGCGCCAGCCAAACAGAGCGCTGCAGCAGCAAAGTTCGACAAAGACGCATGGGTCGCCAAACTCACAGACGAACAGAAAGAGCTGCTGCAACTTGAGCTAGACACACTACATGAGAGCTGGCTGCCGCACGTCAAGGATGTGCTACTTACTCCTCAATTTCTCGAGTTGAAGAGGTTCTTGAAGAAAGAGCTGAATAGCGGAAAGACGGTATACCCGCCGATGCAGGATGTCTACTCATGGTGCGATCTCCCACATCTTCTAATTGAAGCTTCCCCAATTAGAGAGGAGACTAATCGTCAATAGGTCGCGGCATACACCCCTCAATACCGTCAAAGTCGTCATCACAGGTCAAGACCCATACCACGGTCCTAATCAAGCCCACGGCCTCTGCTTCTCCATCCGCCCACCGAACCCTGCGCCCCCGTCGCTTCAGAACATCTACAAAGCCCTGAAGAAAGAGTACCCAGACTACCAGCCACCGCCAAACAGAGGCGGTCTTCTAACGCCATGGGCTGATCGTGGTGTTTTGCTCATCAACACTTGTCTCACTGTCCGTCGTGGCGAGGCAAATTCACACTCAGGCAAAGGCTGGGAGCTTCTCATGCAAAAGGTCATCGACACTGTTGCAAAGGTACGGACAAACGGTGTTGTATTTTTGGCTTGGGGCTCGCCGGCCCAACAGAGGACCAAGGGTATTCCGGTCGATAAGCACCTCGTGTTGAAAAGTGTACATCCAAGCCCGCTGAGTGCCGCGAGGGGTTTTGTAAGTTCTGCGATCCGCCTTGGTGCAGCTAAGATACTAACAAGATGCAGTTCGATGCCGGTCATTTCAGGAAGTGCAATGCATGGTTAGAGCAACGCTATGGCAAAGATGGCGGCATTGACTGGGACCTGAATGTTGATGCCGAAAAGGCCAAAGTTGATGCCCCAAAAACCAGCGTCGATACCGAAAAGACCAACGTCGATACTGAGAAGACCAGCGTTGAGGCCGAGAAGACTAGTGATGATGCCGAGAAGACTGGTGTCGATGCTGAAAAGACCGAGCTATAGCTGTTTGGGTTTTGTGTTCGAGCTTCTCGGAATCTTGGGGTTGGCGTACGGCGTTGCTTATAACCTCTGCTTTGAAGTTTTTATCCAGAGTTGGGCAACCAAAGAGCAGATGTAGGAATGTGACTAAACTCACTGTAAAGACGACAACCATTTCGGAGCATGATTTCAATTTTAATACCCTCACCTCAGCCTTCTGTTCTCCCTGAAACCCAGAACATACCTCTCTTCACCTGTCCCACGAACCAACTGTCCTCGTACGCTTCATCGAAATGCCCTAGCGCCGTAAAGAACACTCTTCCGCCTTCGATTTCCTGACACCACTAAACGTAGGTGTACTAAGTCAGTATGCGTCTCACACGCAGTTCGTACAGGGGCATTGCTTACAGCTAAGGGGTGGTCAGCTCCATGCTTCCCCCCGCTAAACGTTTCCGGATCTCCCCTCAGTAAGATCTGCAGGTTCTTGTTCTCCCTAGGATGCGTGTGGAAGTTATACCATTCGTCCTTCCAGCCCTCGCGCCCACCACAGCATCTCATGATCTGATGTTCCTGAGAAGCCTTTTCAGGAAGGATAGTGCCGGCTTCAGGATCAGGATGCATATCGAAACTCGCACCGATCAAGTTCGTATAGCATTCGTTTCCTTGCATAGCTGCGGCCGCACCGTGGATAGCCACGATACCGCCCCCATTTTGCACCCAGATCTTCAATGCATCCAGTTCTGGGAGAGTGAAGATCTCGTCACCAATGTTTTGAAGGAGGACGACGACGTGGTATTGAGTTAGCGAGGACGACGTAAACAACGAGGCATCTTCACTAGCTGTGACATTGAAGAATTCTGCATCGTTGGCCAATTTGTGGAACATACGTATTCCGGCTGGGATGGAATCGTGGCGGTACCCGGTAGTCTTACTGAAGACGAGAACATTCAAGGGTGTAGTGCTAGCCATGTTGATGGTGCTATCCTGGCGTGTTTGTGGTAATCCACCTAAGATATCTGTTTATTCCGAAGAGTTGTACTCACGCAAGAGCAGGCGGTGGTTGCTGGCAAAGGTATATGTTACAAAGCAAGCGTACTGAATTAGGCTGATATGCTATTCAACCCGGTATATGACGTCATGTACACCAACACTCTTGTAGAAGCAGACGACAGTCGTGTTGCTCGCGTTGAGATGCTCAGCTATGTGGGGTTGGACGTCTTCAGTGATTAAGAGACTAAGATCTTGTTCAGGAGCCTGTCTGGAAGTATGAACTCTCTGTACATTGAAGACACCAAGGGTGCAAGGACACTTTGTTCGATCTTGAAATTACAGAGAGAACGGCAGTAAAGACAATCATAAGGAGAGACTGAAACAAAGAGCGAAGCGTTTGCATCTTATTCATCTCAATACTGGAATGCGTACAAGGCAAGCTATGGTGTCGAGAGCAGCTTGTCAACACCATAGTAAAGCAGGTAGTATATACCGCTGGTGCTGGAACTTCGCAATGGTCACAGTCAAGTGCCGTTGATTTCAACCGGAACCCTGCAAGCAAACACATAAAGACGGGTCAGCGCTTCTAGCTCAGCTTTCGAGTAGTGACGGACGATGATACTTCACGATGCAGCCAACAGGTGTTGTCATTACGCGAACTTGATGATGTATGAAGTGTCGACTTCGCGGATTGCGAGTAGCCATGTCAGCTGGGAGAGAGAGATGCGTTGCTCGTTCCAACCTTGGAAGGTTCACCCTTTTCTCGAAGACCAGGGCAGGCACACCTCGCTCAGTCCTGTCAACGGTAGATACCGCGGTGGGGTGGATCTCTTGCCACCTACTGTTAACAGGCCTTAATCCGTTCGTTTAGTGTGATCACAGAGTCCGCCTCCACACAAGTGTGGTGTTTTGGCGATCGCAACTAGGTAGGTCAAAGTGTCTCGGGCGAATTGCAGGGGCCGGCCCGCATGCCAAGTCTCCCCATCAACAGTAACTTCCTTTTCAGGACAGGCTTGCTTTAACAACAATACTTCCACACCAACCATCTACTATCTCGCATATCACACCCACGGCGGCAATATAAACGGAAGCTTGGTATAGCTTGGCAGAGGGCCCACGCGGGAGACTACCACTGCTGTACACCTTGGTCGATCGCATCTTTAGTCGCCTGTGTTGATCATGGCTAGATCATATCGCTGTCCGTCGGTGTCTTACTGGACGGCAAGCATGATAGGTATTGTGTAGCCCCCCATTCAGGATTATGACCCTAGTGAAGCCACAAGAAGATCATTCGGGAGTGACCGTAAGCATGAAAGTAGAGGCAAGGGGCTCGTTCCTCACCAGCTGCAGATTGCCTCAAAATCGTCTCCCAAACAGGTCTCAAGAGTATCTTCTCACTCGATCTCGATGCCATAAGGAATTCATAAACAGTGTCATGTGAAAGCAGCCACTAACGGCCGAATTCGCCAGAATACCTCCTAGGGCCGGAGACACCACTATACACTATCGATGGTAAGATAGCGTGCTACAACAGCTTCCCGTTTCGCGTTGGACACGAGGCCTTTAGGTATCCATAATTATACAGCAGATAAGCAGCGTTTTGGCGGATGACTTGCATGAAGAATACTAGGCTGTAGAGGGAAATTGTAACTTCAACGGTACCAATCACCGCTCCGCCCAGCCTTTTCCATTCTGCATGTGGAAGGACCATCGGCTTTCCCCTGTTCTAGTGGTCTTGGTATTTCCAGCTCACCTGAACTACAGGACGACAAGGTGGCGAGGCTGGTGTACACATCCAAACCAAATACACAGGCCTATAGAAGAACGGATTGAGTACAAATAGGAGGCGGTTCGCCTCTCGTTCTCAGGCCAGTCCTTACCAGAGACCAGCAGTCCTTCGCTTCCACCTCCAGTCCCGCCATCATCTCAGCCAGCTTCATTCAAGATGCAGATCAAAGACCTCCTCACCGTTCTCGCGATACCCGCCGTGGTTCTCTCAGCAGCTATCCCCCAGGATCCCACTGAGATTCCCGACTGGGAGAATGGTAGCCAGGAGGACATTGTTGGTGGATCAGCCGCAGCCGCTGGCGAATTCCCCTTCATTGTCTCCCTCCAGCGCAGCGGAAGCCACTTCTGTGGTGGAACACTTCTCAACGCCAACACTGTCCTCACTGCTGCTCACTGCGCGGTCGGACAGACAGCATCCAGCCTCACCATTCGCGCTGGCTCTTTGGTGAGAACCCATCTTTCGTTTATTTTCAGCATGCTTCAAAGTCCTCCTTCAGCATCGAAGTGAACATGTGCAACTTCTCGCAAACCCGTGAGGAAAACAAATATCAAAGCTAACAAGCTGTTTTCAGAGCCGTACCTCAGGTGGCGTTACCGCCCGCGTTTCTTCCATCAAGGTCAACCCCGGCTACACCGCATCTACCTACAACGGTGACCTTGCTATCATGAAGCTCGCCACCTCCATCCCAACGAGCTCCACCATCTCGTACGCTGTGCTTCCCGCATCGGGATCTGACCCTGCCGCCGGAACTACCCTTACCGTCGCTGGCTGGTAAGTTTGACTGTCCCCTTCCGGTGTATACAAGATCCACCCATCTTCGAAGATAGTCTTCTGCACCAAGTATGTCTGTCCGCCAATGCATGGCTAACTTTCAATTCAGGGGTACTACTTCGTCAGGCGGTCAATCGCTCCCCACCAACCTCCTCAAGGTTGACGTACCTGTTGTCTCTCGCAGCTCTTGCCAGGCTTCTTACGGCACATCGGCCGTCACCACTCAGATGTTCTGCGCTGGTCTGACCCAGGGTGGTAAGGATTCTTGCCAGGGTGACTCTGGCGGCCCTATCGTCAACAAGTCCACCAAGGTCCTTGTCGGTGCTGTTTCCTGGGGTGAGGGCTGCGCTGCCCCCAACGCACCTGGTGTCTACGCCAACATTGGTCAGGCTACGCTCCGTAGCTTCGTGGCTGCCAACTTGTAAGGTCTCGACACCTACCAAAGTTAGGGGTAGGAGGGAAGCTGGAATTAGTAGTGATGATTGGGACGAAGCATGAAGTGATGGTCAATGACGGACTTGGATACTTTTCACAAAATGGACATCGTTCACTACACGCTTTTTTCCCTCTTGATTCAACACTCAAGGATCAGCAACAACATATAAGTCTATCTTTGCCCGTCTTCTTCTTAGAGTGGTAAGCGATGCAAGAAAACCCACCAGATTTCCCGCAAAATATGCTCACAATGCGTCCGGCGCAGTCAAGCCAAGGAGATGCAGGCCGGGTTCTTTGGAATGTACGCCGATAAACATTGTGTAAGCAGATGCAAGTAATTCTAGTCTCTGCTCGCTGTAGAAAACATAGATATAGGTCTGCTACTGTACTACATTGACTCAAATATCTTTGCGTAAAAACACTATTCAAAGCTTGTTTACAGACGTCAGGGTAGAAATCAGCCTGGAGGAGGTAAAATACATTGAACTGTGCTGTATTACCCACGGGCTGTCTTCACAACTTGAACTGTGTCTAAGTCTCTTGGCTACTCGATTCCTGTATCCATGTCGATGTGTGAAATACACACTTTCGGTCGTTTTACTCGGAGGGAGAGAAAGGCGGGGAAATGCCTAGCCAACAACACTGAGAAGGGTCCGAGGTCGGGCCAACTGATCTAACGCTTCTTGGAACGACAGGCGTCATCACCTCTCTCCTAATCTACTTTATGCGCCTTTATCCTCGATAGCTACATCGTAAGGTCCCAAATTTGTGACACCATGGCTTCGCGACTCCTCGAACTCCCACGAGAGATCCGAGATCTTATCTATGATTATGTCCTTGTACGCGATGTTATTCCGGTCCAATGTGCAGCCGTCCTATCGGAAGTCGCAGCTAGCCGCAGCCCTGGGATTTGTAGACAGCTCGACAAGAACTACCCGTTGAGACGCATACGCGCTACGCGCCGCATTTGGTACATACCTCGCTTCGATATTGGTCTGACCTCCGCGGCGAACGATTCAGGGGAGCTGAGGAACATCCAGATGACGTACCAACTGGGAATGCCATCAGATATGCTGTCCAGCCGCAGGATAGAAATTCGGCTGTTGCAAACATGCCGACAAATTTACCACGAAGCTAGGAAGTCCTTCTACGGAAAAAATCTGTTTAGCTTTACAGCAGACTTTAGCGTCCCGACTGCGTTCGCGTTCCTGTGCGACAGGCCTGCCACATCCCTGAAGCTTATCTCGTCAATCAAGCTTGTTTTAGTGGAGGCGAGCAACTTGAGGGGCACTATAGGAGCTCATTATCCTGTGCTTCGCAGGTCAACAGACTCGCTGGTGTTGCAATTCGCTTACAACCACTTCACGGATCTTTGTACTCTGCTATCCACTTCGCGCATGGATTTGCGGCGGCTACATCTTAGCATCAGCAGTTTACATCAACGATATGACGTAGCTCCTTCTTTGGTCAAAGAATGTTTGTCTTGGGAAGCAGAAAAGACCGATGGACCGCGACCATGGATCGCTTCCTGGATTGACCCTTTGACGAAGGTGGAAAGTCTTGAACACCTCAACATACATTGGGTTTTTGATCGACCACGGCTTTGTAGAGTGGCAGACACGATCTCTCATATGCGGTGCCAAATGCTTGCAGACACTCGAAGCACGCTAGCTGATCGGCCAGGCGCATCGGATGCATCCAGACTTGATTACCAACTGCACTATCGAGTCGCCATACAAGATGGCATCTCCATTAGTTATGAGGTATCTAAGAAGGACTTGGACAGTCACAGGTCGGCTGGTGATGATATTCAATCCAGTGGAGAAGAGTTGATGACTGCGTGGCGGCGACAAGTGCGAGAAATATTCGAGGCTTCCAGATGTTTATAGCCTTATCGTTGTATATCAACCAGTCACGAACGAGGAGGGTGGATTGTACCGCCGCAGCCCAAATTGAAGGAAAGCCGTTGAATTTAGTTGCTGTCAACAACAGAAGCGCCCACAGGTAGTGTGTACGCCTGTATTGACAGTGAACAGCGTGCGATCTATCTTGCGGCTGGAAGATCTGCGTCCGATCGGAGTAAGGCGATCTGGGGTTCCGAAAAGAAACAAGGTGCAGCTTTTGCTCTTTGTGCAAGGGATTCCCTAAGCCGCCTGCAATCAGGTTAGCGGTCCCACATGGTTCAACGCTGTTGGCTAGTCTCCCTGTTCCAGAGATGCCATCCCTGCAAGCTGAGGATTCGTAGGCGGCGCTTCAACATGTATAGGAAGCACGGCATCACAGAGGGATTGCTTACTGTGTCGACCACGCCGCAAGACAATGGTCACCCATAAAGTCATAGGTTCCGCGGTTTCACATTACTGCTTGCTCGGATCTGTCACCGTTGTGCTAACGTCCACATTTGTACAGCATTCTGCTTGGACGCCTTTTTCCAATGTTCAGCCTTTCAGGGTCCAGCCTTCCGCTGATCAGCCGTTCATTGTTTGAACCAGTTCCCCGCTGTTCAAATGCCTCTCTCACTTCTTCCTCCCCTTTTCCAACGGCTATGATGGCATATAACCTCGTTGATCCTGTGTCAAACAAGACACTCATCGCGTTGATAGCACTGATCACCCATTATATTGTTCACCGTGGCGAGTGGGATAACACCTTCCATATAGTCATCGGCATTTGGGTCATCCTTTTTGGAAGTGTTGCATGTTTCGAATATATAGCCGCTACGAGTACCAGGAATGTGAGCATTGCAATACAGCTCGCAGCAAGGACAGCTTCCCTCTATTTCGCTATCCTGGTGGTCAGTATACTGCTACATAGAGGGCTGTATCATCGCTTGCGAAAGGTAAGCATATGAGAATATCAGCAAAGTCTTTCTCGTTAATACTTTCAGATCCCTGGGCCTTTTTTTGCACGATTCTCGAAGTCGTACGGCATTATCGCTGGTGTTCTTTCTACCAATTTTCAATACTTCAAATGGCTTGAGTCTTTACACAAACACTATGGAGTGGACGTCATCAGAACTGGTCCTCGGGGTGAGTCTTGGAAGTACAAATTCATGTGAAACATACACTGACTTCGTATATCTACCTTGGTAGAGGTCACTATCTACTGTGCAGATGCAATTGCTTTGGTCCATGGACCCACTTCCAAGTGCAGCAAAAGTACTATTTACTCAACCACAGGTAAGTGGTGCCTGTACGAGATGCATGCGAGACGTACACTGAATTCGTATCTCCACATCTGCAGGGGAAGTTGCAGGCCGGGCTCTTCACTTCACGACGAACAAGGACGAACACCGACAAAGGCGCAAGGTCTGGGACCGTGCGTTCAATGCTAAAGCCCTCCGCGAGTACGAGCCTCGTTTGAACCGGCATGCACTTGCTCTCATATCGAGACTCAAAGGGCAAGCCACATTTCCCTCAGTGCGAATTACAAACTGGGTAAACTTCTACAGCTTTGATGTAATGGGCGATATCGGCTTCAACCGCAGCTTTGGCATGGTGGAGTCGGGTGAAGAAGCTCATGTCATTAAGCTGTTGCACGATAGTCAGGCACCATTGAGTGTTCTTGCACATATTAGTTGGGCTATGCGCCTCATCGCACGAACACCAATTGGATCCCAGCCTCTCTTTGAGCACATGGACTGGAGCGCTAAAGTTCTTGAAGAGCGAAAGAAGGTAGGCGCCTCCAAATCAGCACTTTTGTCTCAGTTGTATCTACTCACAAATAACAGAATACTCCTAAAGAGAAAGACGTCTTCTCTTGTTTGTTAAACCCGAATGAGGACCAGATAACCCCTGAAATGAACGCTGACTCACGACTTCTTATCATAGCTGGCAGGTAAGTGACTTGTGTAGACCTCTCACGGCCTCCGCGTAGCTTGATTCATTTCTCGATACTAACATGGGAATTAGTGATACTGTCTCTGCGACGCTATCTTACCTGTTGTATGAGTTGTGCAAGAATCTCACAGTTCAAGCCAAACTTCGCGCTGCTATTGATACGGTTAAACCGGAGAAAGCGCATCTCGACGTCGAAGATGTTGCGGAATGTGCATATTTAGATGGGGTTATCAACGAGACTTTACGCCTCCACCCTGCTACTCCATCTGGCCCTCAGCGTGAGACGCCGCCCGAAGGTCTCACCCTACCTGACAGCACGTACATACCTGGCAAGGTCAACGTCTGGATTCCTATCTATAGTTTGCAACGCGATCCACGCTACTGGATGGATCCTCTTTCCTTCATGCCTGAGCGATGGACCGATGAGAGGCCCGGTGCCACTATTGAGAAACGCGCTTTTCTACCCTTCCTTACTGGACCTTGTGAGTGATATGCCTGTACAGACTGTATCTAAGACATACACTGATTTTGTACACCTACATTTAGACAACTGCATCGGCCAGAAGCTGGCCATGATGGAGTTGCGTAGTGTTACGGCTAATTTGGTTCGATCATTCGAAATCACCTTTGCGGATGGTGAAAATGGAAGCACTATCGAGAACAAGAGTCGAGACTGCTTTACGATGACTGTAGGAAAGTTGGATGTCAGAATCAAGCCACGGTATGAAGATTAGAAAGGTCATTGCTTCAGCATTTGGTTTCAACTATTTCTTTGTGCTGGCGTTCGGTGACAGTGGCTCTGGGAATGGTATATGTTTGCAGAGCTGAGCGGGTCAGGTGTCATCTGCAACCAGTTCCATCTTTAGTCTCAAGGCAGTAGCTTCCTCTAACTATATCTGTCCTTCATGCAATCTTGCTGTATACCAGTACATCCCGATAAACACTGCATGCTTCAACATGTTTCCCCATCTCTTCGTATACCTGCATCTGCCGCTTTCCCTACAATGTAGGGCGGAGAAAAAGAGTGTCGAGCATTCGCATTAAAATCTGTTGAAGAGAGGCAGCAGGACTAGAGTACTGGGGAATAGGACTGGGGATAGCGTAGTTCTCCAGTGAAGGTTAGGTCATTCAAACTAATGTATCCTTTGTCGCAGTTACATCTCCTCGCTTGACTTAACCTTTATTCAGAGAAGGGAGCCTAATTTTCGCATAACCTTAAATATCGTGATTGTCAACTGACCTTTCCCTCCCATTGCGACTGACTAAACACAAAATTCTCTTGAACGACAAAACCTGAGAATAGCGACTCGCCAGCCTCTAACAGGCTTTCGGCTTTCGATATTAGCAATACCGCATACCGCGACAGCAAGTTTATCGACCATTCTTGTCACCATCTATGCCGAAATATATATCCTCCGATTTTGATTACAGTTTTTTCCGCACTTTCTAGTTCTTCGTCGGATGGTGAAGGCAAAGATCAATCAGACAAACTAGTCCACAGCGCCATTCCTGCAGCAATAGTCAACAAATCTACCATGGCCAAACTCAACATTCTGCAATCATCTACCAAAATCTACAACGAACAGACACACAGTTTGTCCGCATATTTTCGGGGTACCTTTTCCAACTTCAATCCTGACGTTGTCGAACTCAATAAGGTCGGCATTACTTACGAGTATGGGGATCATTACTTTGTCCTAGTTCAGTTACCACATCCCCAAACCAGCGAGCTGATCTTCCAATGCGGGTTCTTGAACCGCGCATATGTTGGACCATATCTCGTCTACGAGTGGAATTCGCTTGTTAAGGAACAGATCGGGGAGTGGGGGGCCGCTGTTTATGACGACGACGGGAGGTGGGTAAGTCATGATTGTACGAGACGCACATGAGACATACACTGACTTCGTACCTCTGTGTTCGCAGGATGTTCACAGTAGTATGTTGCAGTTCATGCGTTATCTTTGTGGTGAAGTAGCAAAGGGCCTTCAATATCAAGAGTTTTTGTATACGCTGAAACGGGGTACGAAGTTGGGTGCAGAGAAAGTGAAAGCACAACTCTTAGAGAGATTTATGATAGTATTTGGAAGGGTGGAGTCAGACATCAAAATGAAAGAGGAAGAAACGGGTAAAGAGGCGGACAAGTTTATGATGGAGTTCATGGTGTTTGAGACATGAGAGGGTAGAGTTCTTTCAGTAGGAAGTTGACTTTACGTAGAGCTTTGGTGGGCATGACATAGTGTAATCATGGAACGGGAAACTGAATGCAAAGACTCTGATACGGGTATTGAGAATCTAGTATGTTCAAGAAGGGTGACGTATTCTGAGCCACCGCTATTCTACTCTGGCTTTTCTTTGCCTCCCATTCATTTGCTCTATCTGTAGCTTGAGCTAAAGAGTAATAGTGGTAGCAGTATAGTGAAAGCCTGTGGTTTAATCGTCGTCCGCGTAGATAGCGCTTACAGAAATGTCACATGCCATGGAATTCCACTCTCGCCTCTAGATATATACAGGCATTATCGTGCCTTTGGTGAGCCAAACTACTAACAAATCCTGGAATCAACAAAACAACCGAGATAATTCTACCTATCTTGTATCTTACCATGGACACTAGATCATACCGACAATCACCTGAACTCAAACCCCCTAAAGAGCTGCGTCGCTGGAACTATGATGAGGAAAATAGGCTCCTCTACCTTATCAAAGTAGAAGAGAAAACTTACAAAGAAGCAGCAACCAGTTTGAACCGTTCCATACAATCTGTACAACACCGCTATTCAATTATCCGACAGAGGGACGAAAGCGCTTCCATATCCTGGACTGCCGAACTCGATTCCGCAATAATTGATGGCAGACGCCGTGGGCTGACTCCCAATGAGATTGCCCAGGAGATCAACATACCGGAAAAAGCCATTCAATCTCGATGGCAAGCCCTCCGGGCAGCGAAGAAAGTCCCCGAAGACGTTCTTGACCTTCGGCGGCGCAAACCGCTTCGTGATTTTACTCCCCAGGAAGACGAAACCATCTTAAATCTATATGTAGAAGGGCATGATGATAAGGATATAGCGGTACTTGCGGGTATCGAAGGGAAGAGTCAGACGGAGATTATGATAAGAAGACGGAAGCTGGTAGCTGAGAGTTCACCAATATATAGAAGATTGATTGAAGAACAGCTGCATAAAACGGGGAAGGAGGATCTTACTTACAAGAAGAAAGAAAAGATAGATACACTGGAATCGGCGGTGAACAGACAAAAGTATGGATGGATGGATGGATGAAGTAGACAAGGACGACGGTCCGGCATTGGGCTAAGTAATTTTATACAGGCTGCAATCTAAGTAGGTCTTGAGATAATTGGCGCAAAATCACAGACGCTCACGCTATTGTTCCCGATCGGAGTTTCGACTCCACCATGGAGCGTCGCTTTCACCCTTACTCAATAATTGCCTTAGGCTCCGCCTAACCCTTTACTCTTGCTACTACCACCCTTGATCTCATCATCAGCGTCCCGCGGAAATTGCACGCCCATCGCCTTCATCATGTTGCCTGCCGGGCCTGCCATCCCAGCTTGGCCTTTGAAAGCCTTTAACATGTTATCGGCGAGGTTGTAGTCTTCGTCCAAGAGTTCATCGTCTTCATCCTCCTCATCCTCCTCAGTAACGTCCTGGAGCTTTCCTTTGCCTTTCCCATTACTATCAGATAGAAGCCCTGTTCCTGGTTTGTGGTCGGGCTTGGAGTTGATGTTCAGTGCCCCGTGGCTGAAGAGCTCAGCTTCCATCATCTCAGTGAGTTTTTGGATCTCCTCGTCTTCTTCCTTCTCAGCGTCTTGTTCGAGAGCTAACACACGAGCTTCATCAGTGAGGATGGCTTTCTCAGCTGCGGGCAACATCATAAACTTTTCGAAAGCTTGCTCGTATTCCGCGTACTCCGCGTCAGCCTCTGCGTCCTCCTCGTCATCTGTGCCGGCATCATCTTCGCCATTGCTGGTCTTCGCTTTGCCTTTGCCTTTGCTCTTCGTATCGTTTTCAGCTGTAGAGTCACTATCTTCAGGATCCTCCCATCCTCTGTCACCAGCGTCCGAATCGTTGTCCACATCCATGGGGTCCAGACCTCCATCGGCACCCTCCGCACCAGCTTCATTGTCAGCCAGGAAGTCGTTGAAGCGTGCAACCATCTTTTTCAAATTCTCCTCCGCATTCTTATCGCCAAACGCGCCTTTTGCGCCACTTCCTTTACCTTCCAGCTCTTTCTCAAACTCCGAGAAGTCAATATTGAGCCATGCCTCATCGTCCTCACGTTTGGGCCAACTAGCAATTTCGGTGTCAGTAGGAAGTGTGTCGTCACCATTCTCCAGATCTTCTAAAAGAAGCGCAATCTCGCGCGTCGGTTTACGAGAGGCGTACAAGGAGTGTGACAGGAGCATTTGCATGCCTGCTGCGATTTTGATCCCGATCTCTGCTTTCTCAATTGGTTTACCAGATTTAGCGAGCTGCTCTAATGCTGTATCCCATGGCGTCTGGGGCTCCCAGTGCTGGCCTAGAAGCTGAGCATAAAGGACTTTGGTAAAGCGAACGCTGACGTCGACAAAATCTTCCGGCGGGAGTGTGAGAGGAATTTTGGACTTTTCGGGTTGTATAAGCCGGATGGAGATGGGATCTCGAAGATAAAAGGCTTCGACCACTGGTGCGATATAGGATGGATTGGTATGCAAGATATGCGCGACTTTTCTTGGCAGTGGAAGTGTCGCATGGTGCTGATTTTCAGATATCGCAGCAGGATATCCAGCTAAGCGATGAAAAGCTTCTTTCTCTACTTTGCCGTATTGCTGTGGACGTGCTGGTGTCTCATCAATAATCTGTAAAGCCTGCACTTGCGTCAAAGGGGCAGGGTCTTCTTCCTTCCCCAATGGGATTATCAGTAGGCGATGACTATTAATCCAGACTCTGTTCTCAGCAACCTCAGGGTTCAACCATTTTGGTAGCGCGTTGGCAGCCTCGATTAGAAGAAACTCTCCATCGCTGTCATAAATGCGGATCCATGCATCCTTGAACTCTTTGCTTAACTCACGCAGGAAGTAGACTATAAGCCATTCGTCTGCGACGCTATCACCGTAATTAGATCGTCCTTTTAACAGCCACTGATGTTCTTCTCGGACTAGGTCAAGCGCAAGAGAATCACGCTGCCATATGTACTCCTTCAGGAACTTCTTTTCCAAGACGGTCAGGGCGCGTTGGAAGGCTTGTAATCTTTCCCTTGTCTGGATGTCCGAGAGCCTAGAGTCGATGATGAAGACCGTGTATTCCACGACATCATCGGGCAATTTCTTAGGAAAGCCATCGAAACCTTCACCAAACCATTTGAGGTCATCCTGAGGGCCGTCCATTGCATTCGGCCAGGCGTTTGTGAAGGTAGTCTCGATCCGATGGCCCGAGAACTTAGGTCTGTACGCTGGCTGTTGTCCAAAGAGTGATATAGATCTACCTCAAGCGGAAAGGACGAAACCTACAGTGAGTTTTCTGGTGTAGGCGGCGCCGACGTAACGTGACATACGGGGAAGACACGCTTTTCGGCTTCTTGCCTACATGGGCTAGCGGCGGGCTGCATCCCTGTCGTGGTCCGAGCGTCCCCAAACAAACAACATCCATACTATCATGAGGTGGAACATGAGGCACTCGCACGACTGAGGTGCGCCCCAAAGGACCTTTCTATTTCTCTCACTCATGCGTTGCTAGAGTACATTACATATCATGGCGCACCTACCGGACACACCTCGCACAGAGGTTGGCGACACGACGCGCTTCACGATCAACGAGCCCTCGTTCAGCATGGAAGAGACGTTCCATGCGCCGACAGACCGCGACAACCTCTTCAAACAGATGAGCGGCGCCCGAACACCCCGACAGCCGCTTGTTGCCCGACGTCAGCTGAACGCGAAAAACGAGTTCACACCCATGCTGAAGAGCGCAACCGCGAACCGGACGCGCCAGGTCAACGGACTACTCGACGGAAAGCTCACAACACCCGCCGCGATGAAGCCAGGCTTCCAAGTCAGCAACACCCCGCTGCCCGAGGCGAGCACATTCGACATACATTCGAGTTCCTTCGCAGATTCCGTCGATGGCCGGACGCAGCTGCCAGACCCCAACTCGAGTACTATGAGTACACCTACAGCGCTACCGAGACGGGCGGAGGGCGAGATGGACAACGGAAATGGCAACGTACTTACTTTGAGGGAGCAGGAGGCTGTACGTATATCCCCGCTTAGCCGCCCTCACTCACCTGGAGTATCCTAACACAATTGCAGCGTCTGGAGCAGATCGACAAGGAGAACTTCGGACTCAAGCTTAAAATCCATTTCCTCGAAGAGAACCTGAAAAAGATGGGCCCTGAGTTTAACCGACAGGCCATGGAAGAGAACATCAACCTTAAGTCGGAGAAGGTCACAATGGCGCGCGATATAAAGAACTACTCGAAAGACCTCAAAGCCGCCGAAAAAGAGCTAGACACATACAAGCAGCAGTTACGGGAGTACGTCGAAAAGGTCAAACGGCGGCACGTCGATGAGGGCATGCGCGAAGAGATGGATGAGCTTCGAAGGCTGGCCGACGAACGTGCCGACGAGGTGGAGCGCCTTGAAAGGAAGCTGGAAGAAGAGAAGGGTGTCGATGAAGAGTTGGATAAGGTCAAAGCAGACCTGGAGCACACACAAGCGGAGCTCACAAGAAGAGACGAGTTGCTAGACGAGCAGGAGGAGCAGATGAGAGACTTGGAGGAGCAGCTGAAGAACGCGCAGAATTCACAGTCTGCTGACGACGAGGAGAAGGACCGCCAACTCAAGGACCAGGCTGAACGCATTGCTGAGTTGGAAGCACAGTTGCAATCGGCCAAACAGTCACAAGAAGATAACTTTACGGAAAAGGACCGTCAACTGGCCGACCAAAGTGAGAAGATCGAGCATATCCAGGAGCAGCTTCGCGCAGTCGAACGTGAAAAGGAGGCCGAGATCAACGCCCTTAGATCCAAGCTTGATTCCGCTACTCTCGAAAAGGATCAGGAAATACGAGAGTTGAACGAAAGCCTTGACGAAGCCGAAAACGACCTCGAAGCCGCAGAGGAGCAAAAGCGTCGTGAGATTGCCATGGTTGAGGAGCGCTTACGTTCGATGGAGCGTGAGAAGGATACCGAACTCCGGGAGCTGCAGCGGCGCCTTCAGACTATTCAGAACGAAAAGGAAGCTGAGATGGACGCTCTACGCGAACGCCTGGAGCTTGCAGAATCTCAGGGGGACAACCAAGTCCAATTAGCGCAACAATCCGCCAATGATGCTAGACAAAAGGTGGTTGAGATCACTCGCGAAAAGGGCGTTGAGATCGAATTATTGCAGTCGAGAGTCGACGCCGCTGAATCAAGAGCCGATGAGCTAGACGACTTCCGCAAGCAACACCAAGATGCGATGCAGCAGATTGCACGTCTACAACGGGAGGCGTCCGCATACGAGCAACAGTTGCAACAGCTCCGACGTGATCTCAACCAGAAGGATCGCGAGCTAGATGGATTAAATACGATACGACGTGAGCGCGATGATGCGACTCAAGAACTGACAGGCCTTCGTTCAAATCTAAACAGCAAAGACGCTCAGGTGCAGGCGCTCAACAACGCCACACGGGAACGCGACAACCTCTCGCGCGAACTTTCGAATCTTCGTCGCGAGCGCGACAACCTGGTCTCGAAGATGTCGAGCAAAGACGAGCAAGTGGAAGTCTTACGCAGAGGCAACAACGACCGTGATACCTTAGTAGCCACTCTTCGACAGGAACGTAAAGATATCGAGAGCGAAATGCGTAATCTGCGGTCCGCTGTGTCTGGCAAGGACACACAGATTGAAGCACTTCAGAAGATCACACGCGAACGGGATGCGCTGTCTCGAGATCTGTCCAGCTTGCAATCAACATTGCAAGCCCGTGAGCGTGATATGGCCGGTCTGCAAAAGAAGATTGAAGCGCAAGAGGCAACACTCCAAGAGCTTAAGCAACTCAGGAATGACCTTAGTGACAGAACACGAGAGCTGAATACAGCACGGCAAACGATATCCGACCGCGAAGCTGAGCTTGATGCCTTAAGGAGCCACGCCGACGAGCCCGACACCCAGATCGACGTCATGCAGGATCTAGTACGCAAGCGTGATGACGAGCTTGAGAACATACGCGAGGAGTTAAACGAACAGAGGAGCCAAGTTGACGCTCTGCAACGACTAGCAGAAGAGCGCCTGGAAGCTCTG